CAGTATCTCCAAATAGGGCCAGGAAGAAATCGAACCTGAAACCCTGAAGAGCGGCTGCCAGTTTGATTGACAAAGTGAAGTATCTCCAAATAGGGCCAGGAAGAAATCCAACCTGAAACAGCGGCTGCCAGTCTGATTGTCAAAGTGGATTACATGGACCAGTCTTACAAAGCTTCCTGCATTCCCACAATGTGTCTAATAATGATACAAACATCAGATAAGAATTACACAAGGAATTGTGGCTTTGCAAATTTGTATGTTGGTACTGCTGAAACTGATTATGGAAATTGGTGACTTTATTGGAAATCATACAGACATTCAATCACCCATTCCAACCTCATGATTTTCGAAATATCCATGTCTCACAGTAGACTTCTACAGATGTTTACTAGGGAGTTCTCCTGCATTAAGTGGGATCAACTAGCCACTAAGTGCCTGTTGACCTTCACTGTTAGAAATTCCAGTGGCAAAAAAGACAAATGTTGTGTTCCTGAAATACAAGACAGTGCAGGAACAGTGCTAGGCATCTATTTCCAGAACCAAAGAGGCACTAGCAGGGATATCAGTTCCCCTCAATCAAGCACCCCTTATGTCCAAACCATTTTTAATAAATTTCAACTCAGTACTGCAGCAACCTTGTGCTAGGGCACTTAGGAGAAAAATAAAAGAGACACACACAGAGAGAGAAGAGGAAGTTGCCGATTAGCTGTTGTTAGCACCTTAAGGCAGCTTCAGCTGTTGCAGCTCAGTGCAAACTAAGCTGACTCTTGCAAACTATCATCTGGATGGTTACAGCAGTTTTGCCCACAAAACCCCAATTTGCTAAACTGTGAAACATAAAAACCAAAAAAGACATGCACAGGAAGTGGAAAGAAGGCCAGGCCGCCAAGGACGAGTACAGACAAGTAGCAAGGAAATGCCGGGATGGCATTAGGAGGGCAAAAGCTGAGAATGAGCTGAGGTTAGCTAGAGACACTAAAAGCAATAAAAAAGCATTCTTTAGGTATGTGAGTAGCAAAAGACAAACAAAAGACCTAGTTGCACAGCTCCGAATGGAGATGGAAAAATGTTAAGAGAAGACAAAGAAAAGGCAGAGGTGCTCAATTTCTATTTTTGTTCAGTCTTTTCCCATAAGACAGACTATGAACTTCCAAACAAATTGGAAGTGCAAGTGGGGTGGATGACCTTGATAGGATGGAGCACTGGGCCAAAAGCAACAGAATGAAATTCAACAGGGATAAGTACAAAGCGCTGCACCTCGGAAAAAGGAACAGATTGCACAGTAACAAGATGAGGGATACCTGGCTCAGCAAAACTATGAGCAAGAAGGATCTTGAAATTGTCGTAGATCACAAGCTAAATATGAGCCAACAGTGTGATGTGGCTACAAAAATGACAAATGCTATTTTAGGCTGCATTAATAGAAATATAGTTTCCAAATCCCTCGAGGTGCTAGTCTCCCTCTATTCAGCACTGGTTAGGCCTCACCTTGAGTATTGTGTCCAGTTCTGGACACCACACTTCAAGAAAAATGCTAACAAATTGAAACAAGTTAAGAGGAGGGCGACAAGAATGATCAGGGGGTTGGAAACCAAGCCTTATGAGGAAAGGCTGAAAGAATTGGGCATGTTTAGCCTTGAAGAAAGAAGACTGAGGGGTGATATGATAGCCCTTTTCAAATATTTGAAAGGCTGTAGTGCAAAGGAGGGGCAAGATCTGCTCTCAATCATCACAGAGTGCAGGACACGCAAAAATGGGCTCAAGTTAAAAGAAGCCGGATTTCAGTTGAATATCAGGGGAAACTTCCTGTTAGAGCACTACGACAGTGGAACCAGTTACCTCGGGAGTTGGTGAATGTTCCAACACGAGGCATTCAAGAAAAACCTGGATAATCACATGGCAGATACGCTTTGACTGTATTCCTGCACTGAGCAGGGGATTGGACTTGATGGCCTTGTAGGCCCTTTCCGACCTCACTTTTCTATGTTAATGTATCAAATCACATTTCCCCCCTGTATAGTTGCACCCTTACACTCATAGGCTCTTCTGGTCCAGCCTTTCCACCCTGATTAGAGAAAAGTAACTTTCTTCTGACATTAAAGAACACTAGTTTTTTATTGCCAGCTTAGCCCCATGTTATGTTCCACTTTTGGCTATCAGTAACAGAGGTTATATGCAGTATGTCTCTATTTTATGCATTTTACACTGCACAATGGAGAAAGTAAAAAAAAAACTGCACAGTAAAGGAGCTACTCAGACAAAATGGCCAATCAACTCCGTTCAAGTGTAATGATTACAGCACTTACATGTTGCTTCAAACCTATACTATACAGCATCTGGACGGTGACTTTCCCCTTTAAAAAAATGAGCCAGAAAAAGTCCAACATGAGTCACCAAAAGTACTTTCAGTTATACTGTAGTTTCCATTTGTACATGAGTGCCCCCTTGTTCCTTCCTTCCATACAGCGTAATTAGCCAGCATTTTCAACTCTAAGGCTGTGGGAGGAGTGATTCACCATTTGGTGTGAGCCTCAATTCCAATGACATACCAACCTCAAGTGACCCTATTTAGTCTGCCTATCTCTGCTGTCAATTTCTGGTACTGTATTGTGAAGTGACTTAATAAAAAGACATTAGCAAATGGAACATTTCCCCTGCTCCTCTGTAGGGAGGCAAGGAAAGTTAAATTATTATTATTATTATTCTGTTTTAGATCATCTGATGATTTTTTAAAATTCAATCTACATCAGTGGTCTCCAACCTTGGGTAATCCAGGTATTCTTGACTGCCATTCTCAGAAACCCTGGCCAGGACAGCTAGTTATATGAGGGTTTCTGGGAATCGCAGTCCCAGAACACCAGGGTTACCCAGAGTTAGCAATCACTGATCTAAATGATTCAGTACATCAGAGATGATCTAGAAGAGACAAAATAATAATAATTCACTTCTCTTGCCCCTCCACAGAATTTGAACACTTGACAACTGAACACTTTCCTGAAGTGGTTCACTTACTAAGCCATTTACTATACAGTACAGTACTAGAAATTGATAGTGGAAAGAGCCTTGGCAGCTTTCACAGCTACAAGGCTCCATTTTGGTCCATCTCCACAATTGCACATGCTGGGAACTGACCAAACTACAGTACACCTACCCACACCAACAAAGGAGAAGCCCTGACAGGTGCTCGAAAAGGTGCAGGTAGGAGCACTTGGGGGACAGATTGGTTTGCTCTAGCAATCAGCTCATCTGATTGCCAGAAAAAGGCAAGCCAACCTTTCACTGAAGCACAGCAAACAGTGGGACAAATGCCCATGTATTCACGAAGGCTTTCACGGCCGGGATCTAATGGTTGTTGTGGGTTTTTCGGGCTCTTTGGCCATGTTCTGAAGGTTGTTCTTCCTAATGTTTCGCCAGTCTCTGTGGCTGGCATCTTCAGAGGACAGCACTCCCAAAGCCAACTACACCAGAGCACAGAGTGCTGTCCTCTGAAGATCCCAAAAAACCCACGACAACCATTAAATGCCCATGTGATTGAACCCTAAGACACTGTTAAGCCTGTGGTGTGTGTTGTTGTTTTTTTTAAAGACTTTTGGCATGAAGAGAAAAGGTTGTTTCAGAACAAAAACGATGGTGAGAACCCATGTGGTCCTTGTGCAGAATCCCAAAACAAAGAGAGGCAATACCTACGTTGGACCACTAAAATATTTAAAACACTTCTGAGTCCAGGAGGACACTTTTTTCAAGCTAGGTGCTGCACAGCTAAGGGAAGAGGTTAAAATTTGACATCATAAAACTTGAGAGAACAGAAGTTAATTTTAACCAGGGCATATGTTAACAGTTTCACAAAAGACCATTAAGTCTGTTTCAATTTGTCTTCTTGTCTGCGGAGTTATTTATTTCAGTCTTTTTTTCTTTAATGGGGTAAAATCTATTTTGCACGTTGGCATGTGAGCTCTACTGAATTAATGCAAACTCATTATTTACACTTTGAGATGGTTCTCTTTGCTGTAGGAAGACATATGGAAAAATGTTAACAATTTCAGTCATGTTGACCAACAAATCAAAACTTCAAGAAGTTTATTTTTAAAATTTACACTGACTAATGGAGATAGATGCCTAGCACTGCTCCCCCACTGTTTTGTATCTCACAGACACAACATCTGTCTTTTGTGCCACTGGAAAAACAAGATTTATTATTATAAACATTGCTTTCAAATGTTATATAGCTGAACATGTGTCAGGCACTCCAATTCTTCTAGAAAGCAATAATTAGACTGCACAGAAAGAAATCTACAAATACAGTTAAAATACAAGTTAGGAAACTGCATCTCTCTCTCTCTCTCTCTCTCTCTGCTGCACAACATACACCCACCCACAGCCACATAAGAAACCGATTCCTTTACAAAACACTGTATTTTGTCTTAACTTGAACAACCAGATTAATTTTGAATTTCTCTTCAAGCATTTACTCCAATTTGGGCTTATAAAATAATGCTTTTTAAATTATGCTATTCTTCATTTATGCTGCTTAGTTTAAATTCAGCATAATAAAGTACAGTATATCCCTTTTTTCCTATTAAAGACAGACTGACCAACTCTTCAAAAAAAACTTTTAAAAAGATACATCTTTTTCAAAGATTCTTATGTGCTTCTGACTCTTTGCACAGTCAGGAGAAAGTATAATTTAGAGACATGCTTTTATACTTCATAAAACGGGTTCTTTAAATGTGCAGAAATATTGAATCCTCATGATCTATGCTGTTTAGAGAACAATCATATACAACTTAACCTGGGAGTATGTTTTGTTGGATACAGTGAGGCTTCAGGTATCATCAGAAACATGGAAAATGTTTCTTTAAAAAGCCTGATGAAAATGCAGCAATCAGCCAAGGCATCCACTGTTTTTAGAAACTTCATCAAATGTTGTTCCAAAAACAGCACACGAAAACATTGTTGAAGCTACTGATGCAGAAAGCCGAGATAACTTGTACAAAACTTACCAAGGCAACAGGGTCTGTCCCAGGAGGAATGGTTGATCATGAAACAAATCTGAGATACAAAAGCCTTTCTTTCCCGATTCCAGGCTGGAGTGGGTTTTGCTTTTCTTAAATCCACCCGGCTGTGTGCGATGCAGCTCAAGAACACAGGTTTCCTTTCCTGGGAAGGCATCTTTCTTCTCTGGTTGTTACAAACCGTTCTCCTTGCTTTGCCCTCGACTAGGCCGACAGACACTTGTTGCAATGGTAACAAGGGAAGCCAGGAGTTGAGTCGGCTGGCATGAATAATTCACTTTTTTTCCCCTCCACCTCCCCTCATTAGCATTCCATCCAAGCGACACAAATGAAACAATTCATTTCTTCTTTTTTGTCCTCAGAAGCTCACTGGATTAATGAGGGTTATCAAAGAAGATAAGACCGGGGCCCTGCAGATTTCATTTAGCCTGACTGGGTGGAATTTGTGTCTCTAAATGCAAGGCCATGAATAATTCACTTTTTTTCCCCTCCACCTCCCCTCATTAGCATTCCATCCAAGCGACACAAATGAAACAATTCATTTCTTCTTTTTTGTCCTCAGAAGCTCACTGGATTAATGAGGGTTATCAAAGAAGATAAGACCGGGGCCCTGCAGATTTCATTTAGCCTGACTGGGTGGAATTTGTGTCTCTAAATGCAAGGCCTCCTTTTTATCCGCCCCCCCCCCCCGCTACAACCACCTCCATTTCCAGCATATCAATTCGGGCTGCTTCTTATTCAACCCTACCCCCACAGGAGGTAAAAAAAAACACCCTGCTGCCAGAAGATCTGATATTCAGCCAGCAAAGATATCTATCTGGCTGAAACCCCATGAATCTTTTATTCCTGCAGTTTTAATTGTTGAGCTGGTGGTGCTTTCTGTTGCTAGCTGTTTGGTTAGGGAGCCAAATTAAGGACAGGGCAAGACCCACTGGAATGCTCCCCTCTTGTTTATATAACTTCCTCTTCAATATAACTACACAGAGATGACCTTTCTGTGAGGAACTTCCATGCTGGCTCCAGTGAAATGAATGGGATTTGCCTCTGGGAACGTTGGTCTGTCTCTAGATCAGAAATGGGAAACATTTAGCCCATCTGATGTCAGTGGATAGCAGCTTCCATCATCTCTGACTGTTAGCTATGCTGATTAATGCTGATGGAGTTGTAGCATTTAAAATCACAGAAGATTTTTCTCCTTATGAAGGTTTGAGCCAGAAGCTCCAGCATAGTAGTTAATTCCACATGACTGTGTCCTTCTTGTCACGTAATGACTCCACCTGCACTAACCAATTGTTAATTACATTTCTTCTTAAAGACCTAACAGTCCCCTCCTTAATTAACAATTGCGTTAGCATACATTTAATTCATTACATTCATTTCTTTAACACCAAGTGCCTCTACTGCTTCTTTATGCTTTTGGAATGTAAGAGGCTTCGTGACAACATCAGTTTGGTTTTCTGACGATGGACAATATTGCAATTTTATTTGTTTTGCTTTTAGAGCCTCTCTGACGTGGTAAAATCTGATGTCAATATGCTTTGACCTGCCTTTTACTTTCTCCAATGTAGCTATCTCAATACAGGCTGTATTGTCCTCCATCCCAGTTATAGGTCCTTCTATTTGCACATTCAGTTCTTTCAACAATGTTACATATTAAATTAAATTACTGCAAACTTCTGATAAGGCTATTAACTCAGTGTGACGTTCCACCCAGTGTTCCCTGTTTATTCCCCCAAAACCAAGGTTCACTCTCTGGATACGTTTCGTCTTTCTTCCACTGCCACCACGGTGAATATCTCTCACCCACACTGCACCATATACTGTATACATCAGACACGTGCTGCTAATATAACTTGTTTATTTATCTTTTGGTATTTAAATCACAAATGTTCTTTTGTTCTTTTGTGTAGGATCACTCATTAAAATCAAATATAAGATTACATGTTTGCTTATTCAGGTGTTGCATTTATTTATTCACATTAACCAACTTATTAATAATCTATGACTATCTCTTTATCTGAGGCTCCAATACTTTGGCCATCTCATGAGAAGAGAAGACTCCCTGGAAAAGATGCTGATGTTGCCAAAGTGTGAAGGCAGGAGGAGAAGGGGACAACGGAGGATGAGATGGTTGGACAGTGTCATTGAAGCGACCAACATGAATTTAACCCAATTCCGGGAGGCAGTGGAAGACAGGAGGGCCTGGCGTGCTCTGGTCCATGGGGTCACGAAGAGTCGGACACGACTAAATGACTAAACAACAACAACAATCTCTTTATCTTGACTATTCAATTTATCTCTTTCACAACTCTCCTTCTCCTTCTCTCTCCACTCTCCAACCCTTCTATTCTCCTCTCTAACTCTCCATCAACTCTCTATATTTTTTTCTCTAACTGTCTCCCTTTGTCTAATTGTCTAATTGACTCCGCCCCTCCTATCTTCTCATAGGCTCTTGTGCTTGAGCTTCAGCTATGATAGACACCATTGATGTTGGCATTCTGCCACACTCAGATTCAGAAGTGCTGAGACCTGTGAAAGGAAGAAAAGTTAGGAGGACTTTTACAGGAAATATGCGTAGAAAGACCAGCATCTAAGATCCAAAGATCTTTCCTCTTTTGGTTTCTAACATTTACAACAGAGAGCTTCTCTCTCCCCCTCCTGCACACCTGTGACTGTGAGGAGTCTCGTTTGCCAGTCTCTCTCTGCTTGGCTCTGCAGTCACCATGAAGGTGCATTAAGGCTCCACATTCAAAACAACATTTTACGACATTTAGTCTGATTCTTCCTTGGTTGTTTCCACTTTCCTGGTTGGCAGTCTTCTTTGTTCTAGCTGCCTCAAGGAAAAACACTGTCTCTGCTCTTTCAGCTTGTCTTTTTGCTTCCTCTATCAACCCACCAACCAGGTATTGAAGAGTTAACTCTGCAATGGGCATGATCTCCAGTGAAGTCACCAAATTATGATACGAAGGAGGTAGACTGCTTAGAATTAAATGGCTCTTTTGTTCTTCTGTAAATATATAATTAAGCTGCTGGAGCTGCTGGAACAACTCCTGCAGAGATTTAAGATGTCCCTTCATATCTTCTCCTTCATTCAAAATAGTTCTGTACAGTGGACCCTTGACTTACAGACGGCTCGACTTACATACTTTTCGAGTTACAGACTTCTCTGGCTGCAAAATTTAGGTTCGACTTGCAGCCGGAGAATCGACTTACAGACCAGAAAAAAAAATTGAACAAAAATGGATCAAAAACAGCCGGTTACGGATTAATCGGTTTTCAATGCATTGTAGGTCAATGAAGACTCAACCTACAGACTTTTCGACCTGCAGCCACCATTTCAATATGGATTAATTCCGTAAGTAGAGGATCCAGTGTACAGTCTTCTAGATAAATGGACTTTTGAGCTTGCTACAGTTCTTATATGAACTTCACGCAAACTTCTCCAGCATCTGGCAGCTAAGACTTCCCCTCGAACATGATATAATTGTTCATCTGCCAAACTGAGCCCAATTATAGCCAGTGCTTTTTCATTCTCCTGTTCCTGTTCTTCAGTGGGCTGAGTAGGGGGGTTATTTTCTTTTCCCCACAATGCTCCTTTCTTTAAATACATTCGATAAGCCCAGGACAAATAGTTCCCTTCTTTCAACATTGGGATAAGGTATCTTACCACAGCTGCCTCTGCCATACTGGATGGTTGTCTTCAAGCCTCTCTTAAATTCTTTAGACAATTGCTCCCCAACTCAGACATTCACCAACCACATTCCTTCTTATGCTTCTCTAGAACAAGGGTCCTTCGCAGAGGGAGTAGTTGGGCCCATAACCACTGTTACCATTTAAAATTGCAGCAGAAGATTTTCTCCTTACGAAAGTTTGGACCAGAAGCTCCAGCATAGTAAGGCACACAGGAAGACACCAAGAATAAGTGCAGAAAATATTTACTTGCTGTATATATTTACATAGTGCTCACAGGAAGATAAACATAGGCATTTAGCACTCAAACGAACAGAACGTAAGCATGTGAAGGGCACACTGTGAAGGGCACACTAAACTGTGAAGGGCACACTAACCAGCCTCTTACTTTATACTACCTCCAACCCATCAAATTGGTAGTTCACCTCATGGTAGTTAATTCCACATGGCTGTGTCTTTCTTGTCACATAGGCAGTGACTAAATAACTCCACCTGCACTAACCAATTGTTAATTACATTTCTTCTGTATACAGAGATATATATGCACACTTTGCTTCTTCATTGCAGCTGTCAATGGCCTTTTGTTTGTTTTATGTTTAAAATATGGGGCTAGAACATGAACAGTGGCCACAAGAAGAGTGGAATCTAAAATGACAGCAAAAACATCTGTGAATTTCAAAGCAGAGCTTGGAGGAATCTAACAATCCAAAGGAGCAGCACCATAAGGGGTGTGTATGTCAAATGATTACAGATAACACATCATTCGAAGCTGTTTGCAAATTCAACCCATGTTTATGTCTAAATGACAAATAACAAAGAAGCAAGCTACAGGAGCTGTAAAAAGACTGCTGTAACAATCAGTCCATATTTCAGTTTGACCTAGGGAGCCTATTATTTATTTATTTATTTATTTATTTATTTATTCATTCATTCATTCATTCATGGTGGTAACCCAGGCAAGAGTAGACGGAGGGTGGGTTCCCAATTCGAGTACCATGGTGGAAAGACGGATCATATTGGGAACACCTAAGATTTTCCTAAAAAAAACAGCAGCAATGGAATCAATGTCATGGTTTACGGCCTCTATCCAGATGGGCACTCCATAAAAAAGGTGGGATAGGAGTTTACAGTGAAAAATATGCATTGCTGCTGGAACAAATTGGTTGCCCGAGAGATAATGAAATTTTGAAATTGCATTGAGTTGGGTAGTTGATGTAGAAATAACCAATTTTTTATGTGGAATCCAGTTAGCTATATCTTATCAGTAGCTGAAGACATTTAAGGAAAATGAATAAGTGAGTGAGACTTATTTTTATGTATGTATGTTATCCATTCAGCTTTAAAGAAAATCATAAGGAAATAAGTTAAATAGCATTATTTAGCAAACTCACTTTCATCCATTCATTTTATTCATACCCCACCTTTCTCTCAGTAAAGGAATTCAAGATGACTTAGAAAATATTTAAACAACAAATACGGATACAAATATAATATGTTACAATATTAAAAAGCAATTCAACATGTTACATATTAGAGAGCATATAGATGGAAACCATTTAAAGCAATTTAGAAACATATTTTAAAAAGTAGTAAACATGTTCATGACGTTTGCTTAGAAAGCGGTGCATGCATGATTTGTGACTTCTGAACATTCTAACGAACCCTTCATCATTCATCATCTCATCCTGCAAGGACAAAAGCTGCTATTGGGCTCTGAATTCTGCATTCTTAGACACAGAGGATGGAAAGGGGAAAGAGGTCCAGAAGGC